TGGCGGGGGGGGGGGGGGGGAGAGTAGCGATCTGGCAACTTATGGCTCGCGTGCCAGCAGAAAGAGCTCCGTATGCCAGCTGTGGCACACATGCCATAGGTTCACTATCGCTGGTATAAGCCCAAGCATAACTTTGTTCCTCCCCAAATAAATTAATGTTGCAGTTCTTGGGGGCACAGCTGCATGCTGGGTTCTTGTGCATACACACTTCTCCCAAAGAATCACAACACCACCAGTTTATTTACCAGGCAGAAACAGTTGGGCTTACACTACAAATGGGATTTTAGCCAGTGTGTTACTGATGCAATTAAAATATACAGAATTACTTCTAAATCCTATTAGCAACTGATATAAATGTGAACATTACATACAGAAATCTTAAAAGATGTCCAGAGCTTCACAACTGAGTCACATCAGGAACAAATTGGCTTATTCAAGATTTCAGACTTGCATCAAACTGGCAAAAATAAATCTGTAGAAACAATATACTAAAAAACACAACATTGGGAAGAAAGTTTATTTCCACCCCCAAATAGTACATTACCTTGATGAAGTTTATTTCACCAAAAGTTAGTTTGTTGTACATTTGGAGTTCTTAAATTCCATGTATAGCTAAACTACAAAACTAAGATGAAATACACTTGTTGATTTTCATTAGTTTCTAAGTTAATGTACAAAGCTCTTGAAAACCAGATAAAATGTAAATCATCCTGTACCATTTGTGTTCAATTCCACTGTTTCCCAAATGCACTGATACGGAGGAAGTGGCCTCTTGGGTTTTTTCTCCTTGTAGTAACTGCACAGGAAAACATCTTGTTATCTCCTGGAGATAATGTATATTTACAGTCACCATGACTACCATGGTATAAAATCTCTTCTGTAACTTCTACACAGCCTGACCAATTATTTGAGAGTTGTAGTCTGCAGTCTCCATCCTTAAAATATATGGTATAATGCTGTCAATCTGAACATTGCCAATTAGTCCTGCAAAGAACAGCTCTTCGGTGATAGCAGCACTCATCAGCCTCAGGGCAGGCAATCTGAGAAGTAGCCTAGACAACCTGGAAGACAGTTTTGATAATTGGGTGTCACCATTATAGAGGGAAACAGAAAGAAGACATTTCCAGTTCTTTGTTAGTAAATGAAGTTTGTCAACTCTGCATTACTAAACATTGACCAAAATCTTGCTGTACACTTACTGTCATTAATTAAAGAGTTGCCATATAGATTCCTCATTGTGCACCAGTCTGGAGGCTTGATGCACAAACAGGAATCCAAGCACAAACATATTACCGTATTTTTCGCACCATAAGACGCACTTTTTTCCCACAAAACAGGAGGGTGGAAAGTCTGTGCGTCTTATGGAGGGAAGAAAACAGATTATATTTTCCTGTTTTCTTCTCCTAAAAAATTGGTGCGTCTTATGGAAAGGTGCGTCTTATGGAGCGAAAAATACGGTAATTAACAGCAATTTGCTTTTACATGTTATGCCACTTCCTTCCACTAGTGTAACTTCAAGTTTATTGTATTGGCTAAAAGCCGTCACAATTGACTGATACAAAAATATGATCAAATAAAATCATGATAAAATCACACACATGTAAATAAGGGGCCTATTCACAGGAGGAAAGATTTAAAAGGGGGGAGAAAATCAGGGGGGCACGTGTGGGTGCCCCTTCATATCTTGGAGTCCCCCACACAATTGATCGCAATGGCTCTCTGGAAATTAGCACGGATGTTTCTGGCTGCTTTTGCAAACAGCGCTGTTCTGTATGTAACATATGGGTCACAGTCCGAAAGTAACCTGCCCACCTTTATCTGAGGGCTTTCCTCATTTAGGGCAGCCAAGATGTTTCCCAGAAATTTTTCTCTAGGGTTTTCATAGAGCTGACAGTTGAATAAATAGTGAAAAACATCCTGTATCTCACCTGCTCCGCAAATATACAGTCTTTAGATACTTAGGGACATTCATGTACCTGCTGTCTAACATAGCAATTGGCATGATTTGAAAATGAAGTTCTGTGAATGAGGTTCTCAGGGAGGAAAAGTGTATGTAAGTATTGTGCCCTTGAATGGTTTGTTTTCAGCAGATGGTACCAGTGAGAGAAATTTGAAGAGTCTATTAAGGCTAAGTCCTGATCATTATCCAGTTTGTAGATCCAGTCTGTTAACATTCTTTTGACCCTAGGGAAAAATGTCTGTGGAGACGGATTTAGATTTTAGTAAGGTTCTGAGCACAGACAGAATTCTGACTCCTGTCCTCTGAAGATGTCAGCCACAGAGACTGGTGAAACATTAGGAAGAAAAGCCTTAAGAACACGGCCAAACAGCCCGGAAAACCCACAACAACCATCGGATCCGGGCCGCGAAAGCCTTCAAAAATACAATCTTATAATTCCCGACTGGGGGGGGGGAAATGGTCTGGGTGGTTTAAAACTGTTACAATATTATTAATATAAAAGTTACTTACCTGGCAGGGAAGATACCATGATCACTAGTGTAACTTACACAAGAGCATTTTAGCTATTACAATCAAGCCTTTATAACTTTCAAAATGCACATCTAAAATATTTTAGTGTACTTTGATACATTGAAGTATATTGCGCTTCATTGTATGACAATACTAACATTATATTTTTATATGTATAAAACTGAAGGCAGGCTTGGTAAGACAGTCCAGTAACTTGAATATTCTCACAAGGTACAGTGAGATTCCAATGTTCTGCATAAAGTGTGCTGCAGATTCAGCAGAGATTTATAGCCCTTTCCTATGCCTAGGCTTAAGGAGTAGCAGTAAATATGTATTCTTGCAAGCAGGAGACAAGTAACTGTACCCTGTTTGCTACTACAGTGATGCCTTTATTTACAAACATCCCAACCTACAAACATTTTGAGTTACAAACAGCTCTGTTCGCAAGTCAAAGCAAAATTTTGCGAATGGAGCTTTGACTTACGAACAAAAAATGCGGAGAAGGCAGGAAATTTGAACTTTTAGTTAACTGTTGGCCAGCGAAGAGGCTGCTTGTCTGCTACCTTGCTCGCCCCAGCCGTTAGAGTGTGGATATGGAGAGAGACTTCAGACTGCCTACTGCCTGGTACTGTACTGTACGGACTGTTTTTTTTGGGGGGGGTATTTTAATTTTGGATTTTTGACTTTCTTTTTTAAAACAGAGAGACTGCTTGTTCTGAGTGAGTACACTGTGTTTATTGTACAGGGGTTTTGCAGCTTGGGGTTGGGCTAGGTGGGGGGTATGTTTCTGTGCTGGCTGTTGGTTTTAAAATCAGAAAATTGTTTGCAAAGGTCTGTCTGTTGGGCTATAAATGCATTTTAGTCTTTTGGTTTTAAAATCAGAAAACTTTTTGCAAAGGTCTGTCTAGCTGCCGGCTCTAAAATGCATTTTAGTCTTTTGGTTGCTTGGTTTAAAACGTGTGGGTTTAAAATGTGTTTTAGACTCCAAACTCTCTTCCCTCCCCCCCCACTGTCTTCTCTCTGTGTGTCTTCTCTCTTTTTGTGCTTAAAAGCACAAGCCTTTGTCTGAGGGGTCTGTGTGCTCCAGTGATGACTTTCCTCTTTTCCCCATTGTTCCTTCCCTCTTTTCCTGCCCCTTTTAACCTCCTCTTAGGTTAAAAGAAGAAAAATTCTCCCCCTAGTGGTAGAGGATGGATTAACCACTTTTGCATTAGTTCCTATGGGAACTAATGCTTATAAACTGTGCCTTGACATAAGCACAAAACAGCCGGAATGGATTAATCGAGTTTCAGTGCATTCCTTTGGGAGATGCTGATTTGACTTACGAATGTTTTGACTTACGAACATCTTCTGGGATGGATTAAGTTCGTAGGTCAAGGCACCACTGTAATCTATGCTACTACGTTTTCACTGGCACATACTTGCAGCAAACTCTGCAACTTTTCTGGCCCTGAAGAGTCCACATAAACATACAAATTGTTGTATCGGACCAAAGAAGAGTTCGTTAGCACAACATGGCGAAAAGGTATTTTGAAATACAGATATTTTAAAATCACACAGTACCACATATTGCTTTAACAGCATAGGGAAGTGGAATGATATGCCCAAGGAAGGCAAATCTTCCTCACTTTTTGTTTCCACTTAGTGGAACACTGACCCTTTTGCACTATATGGGATGCAAAAAATTAGCAAGATGCTTTTGCAAGCCTGCAATGGCAAGTGCACATGGGAAGAAAATGCAAGCTAATCAGTATCTTGGATTTGTGTCTCTTCAATCACCAAAGTAATATTCAATTACTGCAATAAAGTAGTGTTCAGTTCAATCAATACTATGTAACTGTGAATATACCGTGTTTGCCCGAAAATAAGACAGGGTCTTATATTAATTTTTGCTCCAAAAATGCATTAGGGTTTATTTTCAAGGGATATTTTATTTTTTTCATGTACAACAATCTACATTTATTCAAATACAGTTTTATCACCTTCTGGTTGCTGCACAATACTGCACAATGGTGGAGTGTGGAGTTTCACTTAACTTATTTTTGGGGTAGGGCTTATATTACGAGTATCCTGAAAAATCCTACTGGGGCTTATTTTCAGGTTAGGTCTTATTATTGAGGATACAAGGCAGAATTTCCTCCAACCAAGGAGAGAATTGAGGATTGTTGTGTTTTTCTGTTATGGTACACAGTGTTCTAACAAATGCAATACAGATTGGAATAGGTGTTAGTTCTATGAGGCATACTTAACATTCTTACCAAGAAGAGGTACTTCTTGATAAAAAACACTTTAAGAGACTCTTGATCTATGTACTCATGCAGGGTGCTATTTCTGCTTCATGACTGTATGAGCCTAATCACTCAGTGTTCCTGGAACTCTTCCCTTAGAGCAGCAGCTTGGAAGATAAGGAAACTAGGCTTCTCACATGTGCAGCCCTAATGATTCTAACTAGACTATACACAGGAGGAAGTAATGAGCTCTTTGTATTAAATTGAGATACACCATTTTGAAAGAAATATAATAATGAAATTACAAGTTAAGGGGGGGGGCTTACAACATGCAAGAGTACATGGAAGAGGCGTTTATCTAGAAGGAATATAAACTAAGAATAAAATATCAATGAACCTATTCCCACTGTTGAAATACAAGAAAACCTCTCAGGGATATCTGAAATAGTTTAACTGTTTAAAAAATACATGGAAAAAGCACAGATATTTATAGAGATTATACACACCTGTAGGTATCATCCGGATATACTTTTGTAACATAATCCTGGAATTCCATATATGCTTTTTCTTGAAATTTTTCTATCTGTATCACATTTTCTAAGCCTGGGTGATCTAAAATAAAGTGTATAATTAGGTCTACTCCAAATAAGAACCTATAAGAATAAGGCTACATATCACATATAACATTCAAAGCAGTATTACTGGAATAATAACATTTTATTTATTTAGGTCTTTTTAAAGACCTAAATTTCTTCTGTGCTTGAAAGGGCTCCCTTCAAAACGCACTAGAAGAGTATAATAAAAGAAAAGAGAAAGCTTACTCTAGAAAAATAAATGAAAAATTAGTAGGTTAAAGTTGAGGTTGGGGGGGGGGGGGAGAATCAAAGCTTCCTTCTGCTGATAGCCCTGTCAACCAGAAATGATGCACAGGTGATCCCCAATGGGCTTCTGCATGGTGCAGGGGCCACTGCTTGTGAGGCACAAATAAAAGCTCCATGCGTGGATGCAGCATGTGCCAGTTTGGATTCCAGGCAATAACAACCAGGCAGTATTAAAAGAGTGCAATCAGAGAAGTAAAAATCTATCAATGTTTTACAAGATAAAACATTTCATCCCAGAGCTATAATTGCACTTAATGAGCTTAAAGGCCACCAATAGTGAATAGTATTGGACAGTGTTACTTAGCCTGCGCTGTAGATGTTTGTATTCTTAGTGGGGGATTTTTAGTGGGTGGGGAGTGTTTGGGGAATTTTTAGGTGTGTGCATGTGGGTCTGGTCTCTGGGTCCCTGTGTGAATTTCGCTGTATGTATATACTTACAATGACAATAAATTAAATTAAATTAAATTAAACAAGATGGTTTTGACATTTGACAGAAGGCGGGGGGGAAAACAGACAAGTGTGAGACTCTCACTGCAGATGTTATTCCTGGCTGATATTAAATGCTAATTTTCAAAATCTTCCACAGAGGCTCAGAAGCTTATTGCAGGCAGCACAGTTACCCACAAAACTGTTTTAACAGGTTCATGACTTTGAGTATCTACTGAAAAGCAGGTATTCACTTTTAATCTGTATAATCCCATTGACAGATTGCAGACACTGCTTTAGGACAAATGTAGCTGCTCACATCTTCATTACTGAAATGCAAAGTTAGTGATGTCAACACACTGATGACATTAGCTCCTAAAAATATCTTAATACTACTCAGTGCATTCATTACGATGTTAACAATAGTAATATATCTATGATATATAAGATATACGTATTATATAAAATAGCTCACAAAGGGGCCAAGCTAGCGTCACAAAATGACTACACTTGGAATGAAGTGAAAGAGATAAAGAAGAGAATTGTTGTAACATAAAGGCAAACACTATGGCTAATTGTCTGGGGGTAATTCGGGATCCAAAACAGAGCAGCTAAGCACATCTGCGGTAACAGCCAAAACTTTTCAACATAATAAAGTGACTGGATAAAAAAGATTTATTTAGTTAGAACAATAAATAGTAAAAAATAAACTGAAAGGACTGTTTCCAGTTATTTCTCCCCCTCCCCCGCTAAGTGGATTTCCATTCAGAATCAGGGCGGACTTAAGTCATGGCTTAATTTTTAAAAAATTAATTGTTTTGATGATTTAAGTAAAATAATTGATTTTTAAAATGTAAATTATGATTTAAATCATTTTAATTTTTAAAAACCATTGATTTTTACCCTGCTCAGAATGCTCTTGCAAGTGAGAAGGCAATCTTTGTTCCCTTTCCTCTGCAGTTCCCAGAATCATTGCCTCCACTGTTCCAGAAGATCCCCAGATTATCTGGGGCTCATTTGGAGGAGAGATACGGAACAGTAAGGTAAAATGTGAATAAATGGAAAGTGCCTCCTCCTAAATCCCATCAGTGGAAATGTTTACAGAAGATCTGAGATCCAAACCAGAAGAAGTTCAACTATACAGAAATTTACATAAAATAACTCTTCAGCAGACAACATAGTCTCACACACTGCCAGAACAAGGCTGAATGTGTTTTCACATACCTGGACTGAAGAGGACAATAGCCTTCAAATAAGCATATTCATAACCATCAAGGCAAAGCTTCACCATGCTGTTACAGAACTCCTGAAGTTTGAAAATATGCTCCATCACTAGCTTTCCTCTATCTGCTGACAGTTTATCTACATTTAATAGGGAAATGCACTTTTAACAAGAGTTTTCTTACCATTTTACAGAAGTGAATCTGTGATTTTAAGTTCAAGAAATTTTAAACCTAGATATTAATGGCAGAACCATCCTTTAAATAAATCCTACCTAACTGTATTTTTAAAGCACATTGTATAGCAACAATTACCACATGTCTGATTGTTAGCTATTGTTATTATGTTCTGTTGGACCTAAATGAAATACTAATTAAAGAAGCAGAAACAGTGTTTCAGTTTGTGAGGAAGTGATAGCAATTGATACAATCAATAGAACAGGATAAGAATCAGGTTTGTTTCCACAAAATTTCTTGTTCCATTCTTGTGCCATCATTGTAACCCTTGGTGATTTACTTTTTAAAAAGAAGAAATTATCCTTCCATTTCAGTGTTTCCTATGTTTGACCTCTCATGCTTTATCAGCTCTAATGTAATTGTATCAGCAGCAAAAAAGCTTTTAAAGGCTATTATACCTTTAGTTAAATGTTTTCTTCCTTGCATGTTCTTTGTTTTACTGGCTGAAATCAGGTTGCTTAGTGTAGTAAGTTGCACCAGAGTGGGCCTACTGAATCAAAAGGGGATTCAATGGGACAACTCTTCCATAACTTCCTCTGTTTCAAATGCAGTTACTCTAGTTGCAACTTGCTACACTAAAGCAAATTTTAAGAGTGGGCTCATCTGAGTACGGAATTGACTCATCAAATTCCCACTGATTCAACAGGCCTACTCTAGCACAATTTATTACACTAAGTACCATATTTTTCTATCTATAAGACGCTGCCATTTCTAAACCAAAATTAAGAAAACTTAGCTTTAAGTATTCAGCCTCTGGGCTCAGAAAAACCAGATATTACAAGTCCCAGTTGAATCTGAGCACTGCCTACAGACTCCACCTCCAACAAGGTGTGTTCCAATTGGTTTGTAAAGCATCAGCTGACATCAGTTACATAAGGCTTGTGATTGGAGAAAGCTAACTCTCCTGATTGTAGGAAGCTAAGCCTCATGATTGAAGGAAGCCTGTTTGAAGAGGCAAGGTATGTGGCATTTTGTTCTTCCTCAGCTTACTTTTAGACGTACAAGACTTTCCATCTTATACATGGAAAAATACAGTAACAAGATTTTAGCCATTGCTTCCTGTTCAGCACAGCTGAGAGATAACATTCTTAGTTTGGATTTCCATTCATTTATAGTGATATAATGCTATTTCTTTTTAAATGAATAAAGCAGTAATTATATTCCATATTGGTGTATCTCCATATAAATCTTTAATATCAGCATTATTTACACTGCAACTCCACTGTAACTTGTACTTAAGAGACTGCCATTGTGAATTTCGTTGTATGGGTATACTGTGTATATACTTAAAATGACAATAAATTATTATTATTAAAATCAGATTTTAAAAATAACAGGCTGTTTCCCAAAGGACTAATTGCCTATACTTGAAAGGTAGAGAAAAAAAGAGTAATAGAAACATGCAGTTACACATATTTAGGCTTTAAGATTTCAACATTAGGCAATAAATGATAATGTAGGTTACAGAACTCATCCATACATATTCTGAAGCTTGTGGGTGTGTATCTTACCTTGTTGTAAACTGCTGTGAAGGTGATTAACAAATGCAGTCAGTATAGTTGCTATATTCATTACTTGTGAACACTGTGCAAGGCCAAGTGTAAAAAGTTCATTCCAGCAGGCTTTTACTAATGATATGCTGTTATCCTGCCTATTCAAAAGGAACAGAATTACATTAATAAAACTTTGCTTCAGTTCAGCATATATTCTATCGCATATACTCAGTAACTTCAATATGCAGGCAAATCATTTCCGAGTTTGAAATCAAAGTTCCTAACATACCTTACAGAAAATGTGTGTGTATATTCAGATTTCCTAAGTATGTAAGAAAATGGGGCACCTCTGCATGCTCTGATCACACCTATTATGTTATGAGACCAAGTCTGATTTTTCAGACAATTCCCTGGAATTGTTACTCATTAAATTTGACTGCATCTGATCTGCATTTCCCTATATTTTATACCATATAGTGGACCCTCGACATAAGGAATTAATCCGTATTGGAACTGTGGCAGCAAGTCAAAAATTCCATAGGTCGAGGGTCCATTTCCCATAGGAATGCATTGAAAACCCATTAATCCGTAACTGCCCGAAGAAAAAAATCTGGGGCTTCCAAAGCTGCACCCGCTGCCCTCTGCCCCCACTGTCCTCTGCCTCCTATCCCCCCAGGGACAGGAGGCAGAGGGCACCGAGGGCAGGAGGCAAGAGGCCAGTGGGTCCAGCTTTCTAAGCCCTGAAAGCCCAAACCTGACAGCGGGCGCAGAGTGGCTTTCGGCTTTCCCCGCCTCTCCCCGCTCGCACCTTTGGAAGCCGGAAAGCTGAAAGCCGCCCTTCGCCTGCTGTCAGCTTTGGGCTTTCACGGCTTAGACCTGCAGCCTACGGACTGGAAGGGAGAGGCGGGAAAAGCAAGACTCTCCAGACTTTTGCCCAGTTTTGGGGGGTCTGAGAGGGGTTGCTTTGAGGTAGAGCATTTAAAAATGTAAGTTTCTGTCAGCCCTATTACAATCATCTACATTTGGAATAAACCTCTTGTGTTTTAGAATAAGACCACCTATGAGGCCCTATTGTACTGGTAAGGTGTTGGATGACATGACCTTCTGGTATCTTCCAACTGTTTGATTCTATTAATGATTCTTCAGAGAGTCAACTTTCTCAATGATATTATCTACAAATGAGAAGGAAAGGAACAATTTTATAGAAAAGAGACCTGTCACGACTGAAGGGCCACAACTCATTTTTTACAGTACCAGCGATGTAAAATACAATTGCATTTAAACAACCAACATTGAACATTTGGCAATATGAAGAATCTATTGATGTCCAACATAATGTTGTTTTTAAACCTTGATTATATGTAATCAACTTTTTAGTACTCACCCTAGAGCTTGAAAGGACGGAATTGAACGTGCCCAGTGCATAGATAAAAAGAGCAGTCTGGAGGCTGATTCACAAATATAATGAACATTCAGGTATTCGGGCATAGGTGAAGGCATGGTGAGCTGTCAAAAAAAAGTAGTATATTTTTTGTAAAAGCATGAATGGTCATGTCTCAAATAATAGATATCAGTAACACAATAGTAACTTTTAAACAAAATGATAGAAATTTATTATAATATTGAAAATGCAAAACTGGAAAACGACAGGGTAAAGTATCCCCTTGACAGTCCAGTTGTGTCCAACTCATCCCCGTTTCCAAGCCGTAGAGCCAGTGTTTGTCCGAAGACAGTTTCTGTGGTCATGTGGCCAATGCGACTAGACACGGAACGCTGTTACCTTCCCACTGTGGAGGTACCTATTTATCTATACACATTTACATGACTTCAAACAGCTAGATTGGCAGGAGCTGGGACAAGCAACGGGAGCTCACTCCATCGCGTGGATTTGATCTTATGACTGCTGGTCTTCTGACCTTGCAGCACAGAGGCGTCTGCGGTTTAACCTGCAGCACCACCACGTTGAGTGGACCTCTGATTCATACCCTGGGTGATTCGTCCTGCGCAGAGCCTCATTGGAATATTCTAGAGCTTCTGCAGTAGCAATGAACATATCAGAATATGCGCCTCCCCACCCGTATAAGTACCTTGGCGCCAAGCGTCCCCTTTCAGTTGTGGCAACCGCTGCTTAATAGTAAGCAAACAATGGCGTAACAGAGAGAAGGACAGGTGGGATGTGTGAATCACAGAGGTCCACTCGAAGAACTACAATTACAGACGGGTAACCCGTCCTTCGTGGCCTCTGTGAATCACACCCTGGGTGACTAATAAGCTGTCTTGCCTGGAGGCAGGGTGTCACGCCAAGGTAGAGACTAGAACACCATGTCCTAATGCTGCATCTGACTTCTGCCGGAGGTAGAATCTATAATGATGGATAAACGTGGACGGCCGTGCCCAAATGGCAGAGGCGCAGACGTCCAGAAGAGGTACGCCACAGAGAAAGGCTGTAGAGGCTACCAGTGCCCTGGTGGAGTGAGGGCAAACCAATCTAGCAAGTTGATAAGCAAAATGAATGGTAGAGGCGACCCACCTGGAGATAAGATTGGGAAGTCACCTGACAGTCTTTTGTAGGTAGCTGATGGCTTATGAAGATACGAGCTGACAGTCTAAAAGGTAGGGTACATTGGAGGTAAAAAGCAAGAGCTTTTCTAACATCCAACGTATTTCTTTGTTTGAAGAAGGTGACAGAAAAAAATGAAGGAAAGACAATCGGCTGGGAAAGATGAAATTGAGAGACAATTTTTGGGAAGAAGAAAATGTCCATGAATAACTTCATGTTATCGGGGGGGAAACTGTAGATAAGGGTAGTCACAGTGTAAAGCTGCCAATTCACTAGCTCGTCGAGCTGAGGTGATGGCTATGAGAAAAGCTGTTTTAAAGGTGAGGAATATTAAGTCAGTTGTAGCTAATGGCTCAAAAGGAGCTTTGGTAAACTCTTTCAAAACAAGAGTTAATGACCACTGTGGAGACGGAGGTCATGTATCAGGGTAGATAGGAGAGACAGATCAGAAAATGTTACGTTGTTGGATGTTTGAAGAAGTTTGCTGCTGGAGAATTTGGAGGTTGGTATCATATTATTGCAGAAAGGTAGACTCTCAAGGATGAGATGCAGAGGCCCTTGGATTTGAGAGTGTGAAGGCAAGAGAAGGGGACGACAGAGGACGAGATGGTTGGACAGTGTCATCGAAGCTACCAACATGAATTTGACCAAACTTCGAGAGGCAGTGGAAGACAGGAGGCCCTGACGTGCTCTGGTCCATGGGGTCACGAAGAATCGGACACGGCTTAACAACTAAACAACAAGACGGATGACAACTTTGTGGAGGAGAGGGAACGGTGGAAAAAGGTAAGAGTCTTGGGCCAGCGGCGACAAACGTGTCTCCTTGTGAATATTTTCCTATTCCTGCTCGGGAGCAATACAGTTGACATTTCCGATTCGCTTGGGAGGCAAAGAGATCGAGAGTTGGTGTGCCCCATTTCTGGCACAGTTGGCGGAATACTGATTGATCTAGTTCCTACTCCTGAGCTTGGGCATCTGTACGGCTGAGCGAGTCTGCTAGGTTGTTGTCTTGACCAGCGATGTGTAAGGCTGTGAGAAAGATGTTATGTTGCAGATGCCACTCCCAGAGATTGACCACTAGGCATTCTAAAACAAGGCAGCACCCTGGGGAGTGGGTGCTGCCTTGTTTTAGAATGTAGTACATCGCCATGGCGATCTGTACCATTTTTCCTACAAGAAAGTTTCTGAAGGCCTTTATGACGGCTAGTAGTTCCAACTTGTTTATATGGAGCATTTTTTTTCTCTGTGAGACCATTTGGCGTGGACTGTGAAGGATTTGCAATGAGCCCCCCAGCCAGTGTGACTGGCATCAGTAGTGACTTGTATTCGCGGGCAAGGCTGCTTGAACGGTCGCCCAATAGAAAGGTTGGTATGAGAATGCCACCATTGAAGTTGAGAGGCCAATTCTAGAGTGACTCTTAGGGGAGTGTGGGGACAGTCTGTTAGTAGATCGACTAGGGCCAGAAACCAGGATTGGAGAGATCTCATTTTGAGATGCACATGTTATACAACTGACGTTCTAAAGGCCATGGTGCCTAGAACTTGTTGCACCGTAAAGGCAGGTATCAAGGCATGTGGAGTGAAGCCACGAAGTAAGGTGAAGAGATTTTGTCTCTCTTCTGCATGGAGGAACGTGCGAGCTCGTGTGGAGTCTACTAGGTAATGTATAGTTCTTGTAGGTTTTAATGTTAATTTTTGTTCGTTGATAATTAGACTGAGATTGCAAAGAAGGGCAAGGGTGAAACAGGCGTCTCGTCAAGCTTTGCTACAGGAGTGTGCTACAAGGAGCCAGTCGTCAATATATGGAAAGATGAGAATGTTTTGGTCTGAGGTAGGCGGCTACCGGCACCATGCGCTTGGTGAACACTCTCGGAGTTGTTGCAAGGCCGAATGGGAGTCTTTTGAATTGGTATGCTTGTGATCCAAGTTGGAAACAAAGCAATTTTCTCTGTGTGGGATGTATTGCAATATGAAAGCAAGCATCTCTTAGGTCTATGACAGTGAATCAGTGTTTTTTTCGAAGGGAAGAACTCATTCTAGAGTTACAATGCGGAATTTTGTGTTGACGATATAGTCGTTTAATAATCTTAAATCTAAAATGGGGCGAATGCCCCCGTCTTTCTTGGGGATGGTGAAAGAATGAGAGAAAAACCCAGTGTTGTTTTGATAGACGGGTTGCATGGCATCTTTGATAAGTAAATTAGTTATTTCTTGCAGGGGTTGTGACAGAGGAGTAACAATGTGTGTTGTCGGAGAAAGTTCAAAGAAGTGGATGTGGTAGCTGTTATTGATGATGGAGAGTACCCAGGAATCTGTGGTGATGGATTCCCATGCAAGTGTTTCCAGAGGGCAGGGCTGGCAAAGTGGGTGGCAATCTCGGTCAGAGGAACGTCGAACATGGTGTTTGGGTTTCTGGACATTCTGCCTAGCAGCTGGCTGTTGCCACGTTTTGGCTCTTTGGTTTTTGAAACATGGATTGTAAGAGGTTTGTCGTGGAGGGTCTTGTTGGAACTTCTGGTACAAGTTATAGGGTCATTTCCATTTATTTTGCTGAGGACGTTGTTGGTAGGAAGGGTAAACTCCCCAACGTCTGGCTGCTGAATGTTTCTTTTGTATGTTCTCTAGCATATACAGTGGTGCCTCGCTTAGCGAGGTTAATCCGTTCCGGATTAACCCTCGCTCAGCGAATCCATCGTTAAGTGAAACAAAAAAGTCCATAGGAACGTATTAAAACTGATTTAATACGTTCCTATGGACTTAAAACTCACCGTGCTGCGAGTTTTCTCCATTGCGGCGGCCATTTTGGATGCCTCGTTAGCGAGGCAAAACAGCGGTCGCCATTTGGTTTTAGCGGCGGCCATTTTGGAACCGCCGATCAGCTGTTCGCTATGCTTTGATCGCGTCCGCGCGACCATCGCATAGCGAAAAAAGCCCATGGGGCCATCGCTGAGCGAACGCTCCAGCGATGGCCCGGGACCCATCGTTATGCGGTTTCATCGCATAGTGAAGCGTTCGCTATGCGAGGCACCACTGTAGTCTGTTTCTGCATGAAAAAAACCTGCTCAATTGAAGGGGAGGTATTTGATACGTGCCCGAGCATCTTTGGCTAAGCTGGCCATTCCGAGCCAGGAAAAACGGTGTAGGGCTACTGAAGTGGCCATGGACTTGGCTGTAGTATCTATGGTGTGGCGAGCAGAAAACATCTGTTGTTTTGCAACAGAGAGACCTTCTTGTTGGAAGGTCTGAGTTTCCTCTGACAGGGATTCAATAAAGGTGAACATGTTGTCCCAGAGGAAGCGTTGGTAAGCCCCCATGTCTCCTTGATAATTAGTGACTCACATGGTGAAGGCTGCGGAAGAGTAAAGCCATCTACCCATGGAGTCTATCTATTGGCTGACTTTTTTTAGTGGTATGAGAGATTGTCAGTGTTGAGATCTCAATTCAGAGGCTTCAACAAATATAGAATTTGGAGCCGATTGTTTTTGGAGGAAAATGGCTCCTGGGTCATGAATTCTATAGAGATTATTAATCCGCTTAGACATGGTATGGGAGGAAGCTGGTTTTGTCTAGGATCTCTGCACAGTACTAAGGAGAGATGGTAAGAACAATATGTGCACCGGAGTGGTTGTATTTTTAGAGATTGGATCATATAGATGATCGGCTGGTTCTGTCGATGGTTGGTGGACTTGCAGATTTAGCCATGCAAATCATAAGTTCGGGTTAGGTCTGGAAATCCTCTGCTGGTGACAGCAGGTTGGTATCGGCAATGGAGAGGTAGTAACACTGATGGATTCTGTGGCTGAGATCCATGGTCAGAGCTATCGAGGACGCTTCTGGAGTCGATGGATTGTCGACTTCAGTGTCGAGAGGCTGAGTTTCGTAGTATTGCCAGTTATGAGTCGGAAAAGATGGAGGCAGCATGTCCACGGACATCTATCAATGTCTAGGATCGTCAACATCGAAAGTTGGTGGTGAGCGTCGACGGACCTCGATTGGTAGGGATGGACCTCAGTGTCGAGCCTGGTGTCGTAATGGTGCTGGGGTCGACGACTTGGATTTACCGGAAGACGGGAACTGTGTTAATGGAATGGAATGGAGCGAGAGTCCATGGACCAGGATGAATATCGAGTATCATCACTATCAGAGCCTGTGTATCTGTGATGTCAAAACTGAGGTTGCTGATGCGATGGCATAGCAGTAGAATAAACTGATGCTGGCGAAGCCAAGCGTGAAGAGTGATTTCTGTCATCTACTGTAGTAGGAAAGTAACGGGAGACCAGGGCTGCAAAAGCCTCACGTGTGGATGAAATCTGCTCAAATGTCTGAGGTTTTTTCGATACCAAGTGGGGAACAGGTTGAGGTATAGGTATAGGTACCTCTCGGTGATGTGAATGCTTCGACACCGATGGTTATCGAGAGGTAGACTGACTATTAGATGGTATTATTGAACCGGGTAAAACAACTGGTCGACTAGTTGGTGCAGTTTGTCGAGCAGAGCACTCGTCAGGGCAAATGGCAACCCAATGCGCGTGCTGAGCGTGGGTTTGAACCACACACAATGAAGCGAGCTGTCGAGATTGTTGATGTCAGCAGTCCTGGTTAGGGATTGGTGGGCGATCCGAGGCCATTGAATATGGAACGGTGGAAATTCTTGAGTGATGGAATAACCGAAGGATTGCTGGAAGGGATGGAAGATTGTGGACTGGGAGGAGAGGACGTTGGTTGGTCACCTCTGTCATCCTATTCTGGAGACTGAGAACAGGGTTGATGAGATGGAAGTCTGTCATCATCTGAGGGAGATCTGATTGAAATTGATTCAGAGTTGTGGTGGGATGTCTGTAGGCTTAGACTGTTTAGCTCAGGGGTCTCAAACTCAATTTACCTGGGGGCCGCTGGAGGCAGAGTCTGGGTGAGGCTGGGCTGCATCAGATTTTCCGCCAAGTGGAGCGAGAGCCCAAGGAAGCCGCCCAAGAGTTTCCTTAGCCCAGCTGGGGCTCCGAGGAGGATGAGGCGCCCTACAGTCAGGTTGGGCCATTTTAACTGGTTGTAAGGATTGTTCCCAAAGTTGGAGCTTTAGCCTCAAGAGGCGAGATCGAAGAACTCCGCGCTTAAAATTTTTGCAATGGGTACAGAAGGAAGTTTGATGTTGTTCTCCCAAACAGAAAAGGCATTTGGCGTATCTGTCGGAAAGTGGGATCTTATTATCACAGATAACGCAGTGCTTAAACAGATCCAAAGGGGCCATGAATAGGAGAAAATAATTGAGGAGAAAAACTGATGATTGGGGTGGGTGGGGTGCTGCAGCCGGAGGCCGAGTGAGGGGAAAGGAAAAATCTCTGATGATAGAGTTTGATCTAATAGTTTAAAAGAAAAAGATTGAAAACAGGAAGGAATCAAGAATAATCACTTTCTCTTTTACTCACAAAAACAGAAATATGAGGCTCTCAACAGTTGGAAGAAAACTGAAAGGGGACACTTGGCGCTAAGGTACTTATACGGGTGGGGAGAGGCATATTCTAATGTGTTCATTGCTACCTCAAAAGCTCTAGAATCTTCCGATGAGGCTCCGTGCAGGCACGAATCACCCAGGGTGTGATTCACAAAGGCCACAAAGAAGAACTTCACGTTTCACCACTATCTTTTAAGTTATTCCAGATAAATGTATAACCTGAAGTTGCTAACTTAAAGAAATTTAAACCCAGAAAATTCTTCTCTGATAATGACACCATCCTTTCTGGGTATGTCATATTTATATTCTTTCAGGTGTTTGCTTACCCAAGAATCCCTTCCCTAAATTCTGTGCTCATTTGTTGACCCTTTTCACCCTGAACACAAATACACTGGTGCCTCGCTTAGCGATCGCTCCACTGAGCGATGAAATCACTTCGCAACTAACTTTTTGCAATTGCAAAAGCAATCGCTTTGCGATGGTCCTAAGGGTTTTTTTTTTTTTGCTTTGCGATGATCGCAGGGAAGCGATAGTGGCAAAGCGACCCTTTTTTAACAGCTGATCGACGGTTTCAAAATGGCCACCCGCTGTTTTTCCTCGCTTAAGAGGCAGCGAAAACGGCGGCGCAATGGAGGATTTTCGCTTTAAGGTGAGTTTTTAAGCCCATAGGAACGCATTAATCGCGTTTTAATGCGTTTCTATGGGCTTTTACATTTTGCTTAGCGATGTTATCGCTTAGCAATGTTTTTCCAGAACGGATTAATGTCGCTAAGCGAGGAACCATTGTATATATTTATTTCTGGGCACTCATGCTTCCTGCATGAACCTTCTGCCCTCAACCACCTGTTCCTTTAAATTCTGTGAGGTTCAGGGGAGGAAATACGTGATTTTAGATATTTTATAGTTTTTAAGCAAGTATCACTCCTCTCTCCAACAAAATGAAAACAGTGAACTAAATTATTAAATATTTTCTCATGTTGTGATAGCACAACACAATTTGCAAAGCTGTATTTGGGCTTTGTTGAATACAGTAACAGCTTTTGAAACTGCACAGCAACCAGTCATGTACACCAGTCTGCTGTCTGCTTGAGTTTCAGAACCTGTCCAAACTGTGATGAACTGTTTTTTGCACAGGTTTTGCAAACATTCTCATAGCATGCATCTCCATGTAACTAGCCATTGTATACCGACCAATATAAAAAAAAATCCATGAGTCATTATGTTCCCCTCTCCATTATTCTTCCCCAATTTCAACCATGATTAAAGATTGCATCCAATACTGATCCTCAGATTCATCCAAAGTATCTCATCACTGTGACTACAGAAATTAAATAGCTTATGGCTATAAATAAACTCATTTAAATACCCTGAAAGCTACATGAGCATCACTGAGCAGTGGGCCTTCTATTTCAACCACATTCATGCTTGCTTCTTCACCAACAAGATGTGCGCTGGCTTCCATACTTTCTGCAGAGCTTTGACATGATGCACTCTCTCCTGGGTTTAGTGCTTTTGCAAGAGTATCAAAAGCCCTGTAAATAATACATTGACAACCTTTAAGACCAAAGGCAAGTCAAAAAGACCCAAGTCCTGTTTGCATTATTATACTTTTCCATATTGCAACAAAAGGTTTCCAAATCAGAAATGCCCATTAAACCAAATTAAAGAAATAAGGAGAAAGAAGACAGCAAAGAATGCCATTCCCAAGAATATCTAATTTTGAAAAATGAATGGTATGATTACCATTTGGTGATTTTTACCAGCACAAAACACTCTGTTCATCAATGTTTGCCTTTGTGCTAGGGATGACAGACTTGTTGAATAAATGGTATGACTCAAGGTACCCCCCTTTATAAGTGATCCCCCCTGCTTTTTTAAAGTGCAAAACATTGTTGGGCCCAGAGGTTAAAGGCATCAAGGAGATGCTGATCATTCCCATCATTTCTTCCTATAGCACCCTGGAGCAACATTAGCAGTAATAATAACAGTCCCACCATCCCACCCACTCTTCCTCACAGCCTGTTTCAGAAAGGGGATCTGTATCATGATGAAGCGTTAATTACCTCTTCAAAAAAGTTTCAGTAATTTATTCCAAATGAAAACACCAAGTAGCTTTAAGTAGCAACAGCAGCAAAAGGATGGAGCTGACCGGCATAAGACTCATGCTTGTCTCTGCTTAATAAGCCAAGATATTTATATCCAAACTAGGCAGAGTTAGATCCCAGCTCTTACATGGCTGATCAACTTTCACATTTATTACTGGAAGTTAGATGTCTACTGTTTTCCACCTTTACAACTGACAGTGATAAGTCTATTGTTCCCAACATATTGTCAGAACATTTTCTGTTTTCTCCTGCTGCCATTCCTTACCTTGTAACATCAGTACCTGCATGGTCATCTTGCTGGAGTTCAGACAAGGAAGTGTCTCCATTGCTTAAGCTTTCTATCATAGACAGCTCAGGACTACTTTGAGGCATATCTTTGGATTTACTTAGACTTGCTAATGATGTTACCACATTTGCTAAAGTACTTAAATCTCCTTGACATGTTTCAGCCTAAGAAAGAAATAATGAACAGTTAATTTTTTTCAAAGCAAAAGCATTATATTACAGCAGGAGCTATGCACTACTAAATGGTAAGGCACCTTCACCTTACTTGAAAGCATATCAGTGACAGACACTCCTATTCAACTGCTAGATGCTCCCATTCAGAAACCTTCCAGATGTCATCTTAGCTTATATTTCTTAAGGAATACTGATCCACACATATGTTTGTCAGAAGCCTCTAGAAGTTTCTGGAGGACTTAATAATTCATAATTTACCTTTAAGTTAAGAGTAAACCATAATTGCACTTTAATATATTAATCTATGATTTTATAGGGTGTCTGGAGAAATAGAAAAGAAACTCATAGCATCGCTAATTACATAAACAAAATACCTTTATGTGTATATAATTTTTATGTTATCTGCTCACGATGCTGAACAAACTGGCATGAATTATATGAATGAACTCTTTCAACTATTTTAAAGACACTTCTGGGAACTCATTAGAGGTAGCAGATGGGTGAGCTTTGAAATTAATATAGCTGACAATACAGAAAACTACAGCAATAAAATTAGCAATAATCATGCTAGTTAAATTAATGACACCAGCCAACTTCAAGCAGTAGATGGCAGGCAAATGACTTGTTTTTTATGTGGAGAACTAAAAATCCCAATTAGCAGCCTAATTTACTTGTTTTACATGTCCATTTCAAAAGTTAAAAACAATTATAATAGATTGAAAGTTTAAATACAGAGCTCCCAATCATGTAGAAAGAGAATATGTGTATTTTCAAGAGCACAGAAGGGTTAACGTGTGAATATGAAACCATCCCCCTGCAAAGCTTACTCCTATAGAAGATATCTCATGTGGATCATGGGTCCTTTTCTCTTCAGTTGCCTTCTCCTTAAAGAGAAATACGCTTTGATGACAGTCAGAGGGGTGCTGCTCTTTATCATACTTCTTTTCCTGTCAAAAATCATTCCTCCATTACTCCACATTCTGTTTTCTATCTGACAGGGATTTTGAAATTCACGAATCATCTACTGTTACTACTTTTAGCTTTCTGTCACACTTTGAGTGATGAAGGATGGTGGAGTCATAAATAGCAGGAATCATTCCTCAAATTGTTTACAAGCAACACTCAAGTTGCTTCTTATGAGAGCAACCCAAGTAACCTAATCAGACATGAAAATAATTAGTGACAGTATCAAAGGGAAAAAGACATAAAGCAGTCTAGAAGAGACGAGGGTTTGTGTGCAATGTATACAGGGTGCCTCGTTACTAAAACACAGGGCACAGACAGAAGTAAATAATCATAGAAGCAAGGATGGCAAGAATAAATCACAGGAGAGTGGATCATAACTCTGAAGTAACAAAGCAATTTTAGGTGAACATCCTAAATTTGCAACCCAAAGCATATGGTTGAAGAAGCAAGATTTCAGCCCACTTTTCTGGAAGATCCCCATCCAAAACAGTTAGTAGTAAGCAGTCCTGACAAATAGGTAGATACTTCAAGGTCTCTGCCAAAGCTTTAAGGCACATCAACAAACAATTTCCAAACCTAGCCAACCTGGATGAGGACCAATGAAGATAGAAATTGAGATAATGGCAAAGAAAAAGCATTCACCATAAGACAAGAGGAGTATCAAGCCTCTGTAATGACAGAAACAGACTGATACTATTGAGCCAAGATCTTCCTCTGATCCACAATTGCTATGAGTGGAATTAAAAGGTTGTGTCTTCTACTAACACTTGGTAAGGTTTCTTGCATTTGTGGATTAATAAAACATGGCAATGTCATTCCAAAGAATAGAATTCAAGGACAGAAACCACAATTTTTCTGGAATTCAGGGCTGACAGAGTAAAGAAGATGCTTGGAATACAGTAGTGCCAGAAACTACCCTGGGGCTTATCTTGGCCTCAGGAGAAGATCACAGCCTGCAGAAGGCACAAGGGTGTCATTTGCCAGCTTTCCCCTTACTTTAAGAGGGTTGCAAAGAAGAGACACACAGAGAGAAATGGGGATGGGATGAGAGAGTGGTTCTCTTCCTGCCTCTGCCATTTCCTTCCGTGAAAACCTTTAAATGGTCTTCCTGGGCATACTTTAATGTTTTTAACTAGAACGATGGCAGATTTAGAAAAGAAGAGCATTGGGTAAACCTCCTTAAACATTTCTAACAAATGTGAAAGGCACAACACATTAAAAACAACACATGCATCTAACATAATATCCATTTAATAAATCAGTTTCCAACATATACCTTATCTGCAGTCATCAGAACTGCAGGCTCATTTTTTATGCCGGACTGATGAATATTCACAAACATTCCAGATTCCAACACTCCCGTTGATCTGAAACAAGACATAAATGTTTTCTTACAATGCTACGAAATGCTCAATATCTATCTAAATTCAGAGCAGTATTTGCATACCTTGTTGTTTCACTGTCTGTTACAAAAGTTGGAGTTGCTGTAAGCGGGCTCCGCAAATCTTTTCGGATATAAATCTTTTCTGTAGAAGCTGCACAATTTGAAGATTTTTCCCGAGACACTTCAACAGGTTTCCTCTCACACTGAACAGCTACAAAAGGGTGTGGAGCTATCAGTAACAATTCAAAATTCACACACAATTAGCTATTATAAACAATCTTCTTGATATTTATTTATTTATAGTTGTTACTACCAATTTTGATGTTGAAATAATTTTCTTATACCAAACCTAAAAAATCTGTTAACAGTACTGGTGAATGTTTAAGATCTAAGGCCTGGATCGAACAAATTATTCATGCAAACAGTCCATTGTGTTAGCAATGACATTCATAGTGCTTCCCACATCAAGAAAGTTGGTTCCTTGCTCTGTGAGCAAAAATAGAACAGGGAGTTCTTAATCCCACAGCTGTCTCTCAGCATTCAATGTGGCTGAAAGGTTGGCAAGTATTAGCCAACTGCTATTTAGAAGAAGCAGTCGCTCAAAATTACAACTTACTACTAGATTTCAGCCACAGAGACATATTTTCCAGTTACTCAACATGGACTGAGTTCCTCTTCTGGTAGGTTGCAGGGGAAAAGCAAAGGAGAAATCCTGCAAAATTCAGAGTCTGACCATCTGTGCAAATAGTTTCCCCACCCACTGCCACTCCTTCAGGGTCCCCAGGAACCACATCATTCTGGTCTCTATTGGTCTCTTCCATTTGGACATCAGGTACTTACAAGAGTTTCAGTAGGATCAATCCCTCTAGACATACATGAGCAAGCAATAGTTCTTTGCTTCCCCTGACTACCTTCTTCTTTTTCTGAAGCCCCTTGTTATCCTCTCCACTGCTCCCACTCTATTTTCCTGATAGCATTTCATCTGCCTCTCCCTTTGTCTGCCTCTTCCTCCTTTCATCCCTTCCTCCAGCTTTCAAAATGCTAAGGTCATGCTCCCCTATTCATCCAGCCCTGCTTCCAGGCAACTGGGTGATGAATAGCAGCTGTTGCATGCAGCAGCTCCTAGTTCTTTTCTGGAATCTTTGTAGTCTTGGTAAGTGTGTTTTTCAGAGACTGCAGGACTGGTACTTAGGCTAGGATAATTGGCCTGCCCACTCTAGCCCAACAATATCTTTCAGATGCACTTAAGAACTTTTTATTTCAAATGGCATCTGCAAAATTTTAGGATGAGCCTGAAAATTCACCAAAAAGGCTTGCTTACTTGGAGATACCCTCTTGCATAAAACATTAGTACACACAGAATGTCACACAAAAGGTTCACCCTAAATGAATTTAGTCCTTCACAGCACCAAAGCCCTGCATCTTGCTACTAAACAGTTCATTTGTTGCCAATCAATAATTTGGAAATAATAAATGAAGAGCATCTACATAAATATAAAAAAACACATAAAATAAATATAAGAGCATCTACTGAGGCTTCCAATAACTGTCCCTTCCCTACAACAAATTTTGGTTAATGCTCATACTTACAATCTTGTTTCATTCCAAAGGCAATACATCTCTGCAGCCTACAGTACTGGCATCTGTTTCTATGATGTTTGTTAATCACACAGTCTCTTGCCCCGCGACATGAATAAACTAAATTCTTTCGTATGCTTCTTTTAAAGAATCCTTTGCACCCTTCACATGTCACAGCCCCATAATGGCGCCCTGGTTGCATAATGAAGTACATAAATTAGGAAATATTTTTCTTCAATTTCATATATTCTCTTTATTAAGTGAATGGTCATGAATGAAAACAGTAAAATTCTCATGCAATATTAAAGACTGAAATGTTTTATTTTGTATAAGACCATGTGAACCACATAAATCAAATACATGCACAATGAGACATACTGATAGAAACCCAAATGTCTGGCAACATTCTTAAAGAACCTTATAATGCCCTCCATAACATGAGAGGTTCATAAAGCTGTTCATTTTCTAATGTGGTATCTGTCATAATTTGCATCAGGAATGCCCTGCTACATTTTACATCTGGCTTAAGGTGGCTTTCCCTGAATAGAAAAACTTTAAAAAAAAAAACTTTAAAAAAACCCACAAAGGTAACACAGAGCCAAATAAAAATTCATCAAGAAGTCAAACTCTTATAGCTTGACAACAGTCTTTTTTATCACATGACACACTAACAAGCTCATAAATACAACGTCTGTGTGAATCTCAGCTACTGTTTATTATTGGCATGATTAAGGTTTTAATAGCTGTTTATACTTTCTGCCTTGATTCCAGTGTGGTGCAATGAACTAGGAATTGGAAGAACAGGGTTCGAATCCCTACTTGGCCATGGAAACTCACTGTATGAGTGGAGCTGGTAAAACCACTGCTTAAATATCTCATTTACCTTGAAAGCCCCACTACGGTCGCTGTAAGTCAGTTCCAATTTGATGGCACAGAGCACACACATACTTTCTGCACTTGAGTGCTTTTTGACTGCTTTTTTTTACAGCCCATCACCCATCCACCCACTCAACCATGCCTATAATCTTCTATCAACTGAGGCAACCATGCATCTGATAAAGATGGCTCCAATCCACGAGAGTCTATACAAAATAGAATGTCTTTAAATAGAATAGTCTTTAAAAGCTATTGCAAGATATTTTATTGCTTTGTTGCAACAGACTAACATGACTATCCTCTGCCCCAGGAAGTCAGTAAAGAAACAGAAGTTCTGAGAAGTACAACTGAAATTCACCTATGTCAACCAGTTTTTGACAATTAAATGGAAATGTCCAGTTTAATAAATGAAGCCTAAGAAATATCATACGAGGAAACTGTAGCAACAAAATGTTATGATAATATAACAATAAATAATTGGCTGAGAACAGAATGAAAATCTACTTGGTCAGCAAGCTAAATAGAAACATGACAATGGTGTTGCAGCATTCTGCCCCAGAACTATAAAGTATAGTAGTCTAGTACAAATGTTTTCAATCAGCCATCTGTCAGCACCATTCAAATTTGATGATACCTACAGTTGTAATCAAAATTATTCAACCTCCATTGCAAATCTGGTTTATTGTCAAGTGCTCTACTAAGTACTAAAGATGCTTGCCATGAAGGTGAATAACTTTGAGATTGCAGAATTCATTACAACTGGCATTTTCAGTTGAATTTGGGGAAACCACTTGAAGCATTCATGTTGAGCTATTTTTGTTTCATTTGTTCATTGCCATAAATAGTAAATTTTGACAATAAACCTATTTGCAATGGGGGTTGAATAATTGTGATTATAATTGTATATTGTGGAATGACAATCCTATCTTATTACTACTGTCCCAACAAAACTGCACCAAACCACAAAGCAAGCTACCCTACCAAGCCGGACTGTACTGCAACATTTTTCCAAAACCGGAAATTTTAGTTACCGTAACATTTGTTTTAAAAGGGAACCTTGTTTTGAACTTCATTTTCTGGCCAGCCTAGCAGCCACTGAAAATATGTTCTAATTATTATATTTGGCAGACTATAATAAGAACGATCATATTTATATAAGCTTCATTGGATGTGCTAAACATATTAGAGTTTATTAAAATACACCAAAACAGCAGAATTATGCTTTTTCTAATATTAAAATCACTTGATTTATATGCAAGGTGAGGATAGTTTTAAAAAGAGGTAGAAAAAAAAGAAATTAATTTTGCAAATTAAATTTACATAGTGATTTACCTGATGCCTTGTCCCCACAAACAACACAGAGATCAAATACTTTATTTAGAGTCTGTTCAGTGGAAGAACTGTCTGTTAAAATCTGAAAATAATAGTAAGAATAAATAATGTAATTGAACTTTGCTTTCACTAAGTTGTTTGCTTAGCTTCACAAATATAAACAGCAGGCTTGTTCCAGAGTTTGAGGATTACTTCATAAAAGACATAGTCAAGGTCCAGATAATACATTTGATAAAAGTATTTCAGAAAACATGTTACTAGTACAGCATTTGATAGACAGATTAAAGTGAAAAATAACACTTATAAATCAATGTTACAGACATCAATATTCTAATTTCTTGCTTATTTATGTCTTTTTTCATTGTGTCATGCTGAAAGTTAAGACTCAATATCCCATTTCTATTTACTACTCAGAAAATTTAAGAAATTAATGGCTCAAATTCAGTAGTAAGTTGCAAGTAGAATAGTTCCATAAGTTCCATTGAATCAGTGGAACTTCTGGAGAAGCTGATTCATGAAATCACCACTGATCCAATGGGCTTACTATAGCAGCAACTACCTACCATATTGGATTTCAGCCAATATGGGACATTTAAGATGTAAATGGTGCTACATAAATAACAAATACTGCAAAAAATTATTTTGTTTATGCCATCACCATTTGCAAAACATAACCATATATCTGCCACTGCTAATGCTGTTTTGCTATTGCATTTTTTTCATGTTATGGAGGGGATAAGGCACTCCCCCACTGCACCACTCAGGCACAGAACTCATGTTTCCATAAAAGAGAACAAATACAAAGAAAAAAATAAAGACAAAAATGCTGTAGCACCTTAAAGACTAACTGCTGTATTTTAATATGATCTTTCATGGACTATATTTCACACTGAAATATAGTAGTTAGTCTTTAAGGCGCCACAGTGTTTTTGTTTTTTCTCTCTTGTTCTTGCCTGAGATGCTAGCACTGACTAACATGGCCACCTCTTCTAAAAAAAAAGATTTGTCAAACCTTAGCAAAGATAGCTCTGTCCATTATTGTAGTGCAGAATAAGAGAGGAGTTGGGACTAGGGTGAGGGAAACTGAAATTCAAAGCACTGTTCAACTATGAAACCTGTTGATCCAGTTACTATCTTTTGAGTCCAAATTCAAAGTTGGTTAGGCCTGGTTGTAAATGAGAACATTTTATGACACCCCATACACTCCAGAAATAAATATGTAATGAACAAATCTGCCCTCTTCTAAAGAAATGACCTAATACATATGCGGGTTACAGCATTACTTTTGACCAATCAAGACTAGCGTGATTACTTTGCTAAGAATGCATTGATTTGGAAACTTCTCTGAACACCATACCTGAATGTGTTGTGCGGGTATATCTGGGGATGTAAAAAACAGTTGGTTCACTCCTGCAGCATCAGGTGTTGTAAGAAAAACCTTTCCTGGAGTAGTATCTTGTCTTGCAAGGATCACTTTACTTGGGGTAGAACCATCATGATTTGTTAAAATAAACTGCTTGCCCGTTGCTGTCTGATCAAGTGCTGTAACAATCTGAATCTTCTGCCCCGTCTGCTGATCTGTAACAATCTAGTAACACATTTATCTCTACTTGTTAGAAAAGTTGTGATTAAGAGCAGGTGTGGTCTAATTTAATTATTGTGTTTGCTTGATATGACCCAAAGATATAGTATTCATAAAAAATAAGGAAACATTTGATGAAAGCATCTCAGTAAGACCCAACAAGTGCAAAGAAGGAAGTGCGTTAAATTATTTCCAGACTTAGTCGCACGTACATACATACGTACATACGTACATACATACATACATACATACATACATACATACATACATACATACATACATACATACAAGTAGACCTACTGAAATCAATGCATCTTCTGTTTGACACAAGTGTAATTTCTATTGAGTTAGAAGCTCTACTTTAAATTTGGCCAAATGTGATCCAACCCAGATGGATTGGCAGCAAGGTAAGTCCTCACAAAGTATGCAAACACAATGTTAGAGAATGCTTGTTGTGCATATATACAATGCTCCAATCCAAGATGTATTTCTGCCCTTAGGAAGTGCTACCATATTGATAAAATGAGCATACAGGACTTTTACTGCAAGTGAATTGCTTCTTGCCTTCTTCTGGAAATATCTGCTCTAGTCTGGAGATACCAGAAGTGTGCATATTCTTTCTGATGATCTCCTGATCTGGCCCGGCCACTGTAAATACACCAGTAGCACACTATGCATCTCTATCTCCCCCCCTCTCATCTCTAGTATTAAATATATCCACAATGTTTTATATAGAACATGTATTTTTTAAACTGCAGCGTGAAGTTGAGCTCTACTCAATAGAATTAATCTTACTTTTTAGTGCTCTTGAACAAAAAGCTACACTACCCAAGTGGCTTATATAAAAATGGAACACAGGTTGGGATTTCTCTCTAAATAGAATAAATACATCAAATATAATTATACTGCTAACTTATAAATGCCGTGTGCAATGTTATAAAAGCACTAGAATAAGTTCAGATTCGGTTTAAAAGTTAGTATTGCACACATATTCCTCATTTCTGTTTTCCCAGGAAAGGGGATTTTTGGGAAATTTTACACCTGATGTTTAGGGGAAAAAATTTAACTAGATAAATGAAATATTTTAAACACAGTGTACCTGTATTCGCTGTGGTAAGGAAAGACCTGTATCAGCAGGGACAATCTGAATTCTTTGTGCTGTCCCATCCATTAGTGTTTGTGTGACAGATCCTTGGGAATGTGTCATCTAGGAAAAAACAAAAAGACAGGTAGATTAATACCCTAAATCAAGAATGGGAAACTGTAGGTATCCAGACATTTTTGTCTTACAGCTCTCATCTGCACTAGCAAGCACAGGCAGTGAAGAAGGATGCTGACTGCTGTAATCCAAAAATGTGCACAGTTTCACCAATTTCTGCTTAGACTTACAAAGCACCCTTTCTATAAAGGAGAACCGGAATAACAAAACTCAGGGTTGAAAATCAAATATAGCTAAGAAATAACATTTATCCTCACAAGAAATATTATTATATTTGTACTCCCGGAAAATCATGAAAAATGTCACTGACAAGACTGCTGTATGTAAACACTGGCCTACTCCATGCAAGCATTTTTCTGGTGACTTCCAGAAAACCCTTGTTTAGTAGAATTGAGCACCTTTGTCCAACTGCTCCCACTGGCTTCTTGTACAAGCTCCTCCCACAAGCACAAACAAGTAATAAAATAAAGACCCCAAACAGACCATAGCTTTGGATCACAATGAAAGGAAAGACAAGCTAGGGCACAGATGTCATATTGAACAAACCAAAGACAGCAGGTCCTGCAGAAATTGAGTAAAGTAAGCCAGCTGTGAGCTTATCAACAGTAACAAGCAATGATCCTCCAGAACCATAGATTATCATTGTGGCAAATGCCTACTTGTTTAAGACTATCCAGTAGGTAGCATTTTGTTTTTATTCAGCTATCCCCACTAGTTTTCTGCATCTGGATTATCATGGACCAGAGAATATCTAGCTTATTTAGAAACAATCAGGAATTTAAGTGTGGTAAATAATCGGGCTGGGTGCCAGTGAACGTTATATCCTAACTGGTATTCAGTCACAGGAGTTACTTGTGGAAAGAGAGCCTTGGCAATAAGTAAACATTGGCCGGCCCCATCCAAAGAAGGGCAGCTGTTGCTTCTACACATCAGGACACTTAATTGAGTTATCAAAAGAAATTGCCATCAGTTAGAATGTCCCAGATAACAGGAAATTAAGCTAGGAATAAATACCCAAAATAACTTTTTAAAATGCAACATCTTAATGAATTCGGCAAATTAAATTCTAAACTTAAGATATAATGTGGGGTCTTTGCATCATTAAAGATTTCAGATTTACAAAAAAATTATCTACAGCAGTTATCCCAAAATGAAAATGAAAATATGGCTTTTAAATATATCAATCTTTTAGTCATTGTGCAACTGCATAAATATATAAATATATATACATGTGTAAGTACCTCCCCCATTTGCTGTTCTATAATTTGATGGGCCAATTCTTCAATAGTTGCCATGATCTTCTGTCAACAGTGTTTTCTATTAAAGAGAAAAATTCTTAAATATAACTTAATATAGCAAATCAGAGAAAAAATTAAAAACAGTCCAAATATATTTTCTTGATGGTCCAGCAGCGCTTTCCACTCAAAAAGAGAAAGTTGCTGAAACTGTGTTCATCATATCTCAAAACTACACAGCAACACTAATTCATGTCACACTGCCATCATGGTCTCAATCCCCCTTCACGGATTGCTGCCTTGTCGTGGCGAAGGGTAACTCAGGGAAGCTATGGGCTATGCCGTGCAGGGACACCCAAGACAGACAGGTCATAGTGGAGATTTCTGACTAAACGCAATCCATCTGGAGTAGGAATTGGCAATGTCACTCCAGTGTTTTTGCCAAGAAAACTCCATGAACAGAAACAAAAGGGTAAAAGATATGATGCCAGAAGATTGGCCCCTCAGGTCGGAAGGCGTCCAACATGCCACTGAGGAAGAGCGGAGGACAAGGACAAGTAGCTCCACAGCTAATGAAGTGGCTGGGCCAAAGCCAAAAGGACGCTCAGCTGTGGACGTGCTTGGAAGTGAAAGGAAAGTCTGATGCTGCAAAGAAAAATACTGCATAGGAACCTGGAATGTAAGATCTATGAACCTTGGGAAGATGGATGTGGTCAAACAGAAGATGGCAAGAATAAACATTGACATCCTGGGCGTCAGTGAACTAAAATGGACAGGAATGGGAATTCAATTCAGACGATTATCCTATCTACTATTGTGGACAAGAATCCCGTAGAAGGAATGGGGTAGACCTGATAGTCAACAAAAGAATGGGAAAAGCTGTAATGGGATATAATCTCAAAAATGATAGAATGATGTCAATATGAATCCAAGGCAGACCTTTCAACGTCACAGTAATCCAAGTTTATGCACCAACCACCAATGCTGAGGAGACTGAAATTGACCAATTTTATGAAGAATTACAACACCTTCTAGAACTGATACCAAAGAAAGATGTTCTTCTCATTATAGTCAGGAGTCAAGAGATAAAAGGAACAATAGGAAAGTTTGGCCTTGGAGTTCAAAACAAAGAAGGGCAAAGGCTAATAGAGTTTTGTCAAGAGCTGGTCACCACAAACACTCTTTTCCAACAACACAAGAGGCGACTCTATACATAGAAATCACTAGATGGGCAATACTGAAATCTATCTCCTGAGAAACCTATGCGTGGGACAGGAAGCAAGTTAGAACTGGACATGGAACAACTGATTGGTTCAAAATTGGGAAAGGAGTACGACAAGGCTGTATATTGTCTCCCTGCTTATTTAACTTACATGCATCATGAGAAAGGCAGGACTAGATGAATCCCATTCTGGAATTAAGACTGCCGGAAGAAATATCAACAACCTCCGATATGCAGATGATATCACTCTGATGGCAGAAAGTGTGGAGGACTTAAGGAACCTTGTAATGAGCGTGAAAGAGGAGAGTGCAAAAAACTGTCTGAAGCTCAACATCAAAAAAACTAAGATCATGGCCACTGGTCCCATCACCTCCTGGCAAATAGAAGGGGAAGATATGAAGGCAGTGACAGATTTCACTTTCTTCGGCTCCATGATCACTGCAGATTGAGACAGCAGCCACGAAATTAAAAGACGCCTGCTTCTTGGGAGGAAAGCGATGACAAACCTTAACATCTTAAAAAGCAGAGACATCACCTTGCCAACAAAAGTCCGCATAGTCAAAGTAGTAGTGATGTATGGAAGTGAGAGCTGGACCATAAAGAAAGCTGACCACCGAAGAATTGATGCTTTTGAACTGTGGTGCTGGAGGAGGCTCTTGAGAGTCCCCTGGACTGCACGGAGAACAAACCTATCAATTCTAAAGGAAATCAACTCTGAGTGCTGACTGGAAGGACCGATTCTGAAGCTGAGGCTCCAATACTTTGGTCATCTCATGAGAAGAGAAGACTCCCTGGAAAAGACCCTGATGTTGGGAAAGTGTGAAGGCAAGAGGAGATGGGGGCGACAGAGGATGAGATGGTTGGACAGTGTCATCGAAGCAAACAACATGAATCTGACCAATCTCCGGGAGGCAGTGGAGGATCGGAGGGCCTGGCATGCTCTGGTCCATGGGGTCACGAAGAGTCGGACACAACTGAACAACGATTTCTCAATAATGCACCTCAGGATGCAATCCTGCATCAATTTAACCAACTGAAACCCCACTGAATTCACTGTGGCTTCTTTACCAGTTACAGTACATAAAATCATAAGAACCCTTCTGGATTAGGCCAAGAACCCATCTCGTACAGCTTCCTGTATTTCACAGTGGCCGCACCAGATGCCTCTGGGAGCACACGAGATAACTAGATACCAGTCTCCTGATACTCCTCCCCTGCATCTGGCATTTTGCGGTACCTTTCTTTTAAACTGTCATGTAAATTGTTGTACCTTCTGATTTTTGCAGAATACAGAACTTTCTGGGAATATATAGAAATATTTTCATGCTAGGAAACACTTCCACCATATCAAAGCCAGGAATGTAACAAAGGAAAATCAGCTATCTAGGGCAGTGGTCCCCAACCTTGGGCCTCCAGATGTTCTTAGACTACAATTCCCAGAAGCCTTCATCACCACCTCTGCTTGCCAGGATTTCTGGGAGTTGAAATCCAAGAACATCTGGAGGCCCAAGGTTGGGGACCACTGATCTAGGGTATCACACACAGGCATAAACAGTAAATATGTCCTGCACTGAAAGTTCAACTTTAATCATACTGCAGACCAGTCATAATTTTCCAAATATGAAAGATCATAACATTTTTTTCTTTGCCAGGTTATAGGCCTCCCTTGGCAATCTACTTTTCTACATTTCTTTTGCTCTTCATCCTATGCATCATGTCTTCACAGATGAGTGTGTCTTTTCCACAAGTAGAGAGCAAACAACCAAGCTACTAGTCTCACTAAAGAAGCATCCCTCCCTGAAGTTTTGTTCTGTCTATAGTTGCATTCAATAGACTGCTAAATGTGTTTTAAAAAATGAAGTAATGTTGACTGGAAAATGTACTATACTTTGCTGGCTGTACAGGAGCTGAGTAGAGCTAATGAAACAGTCTAGTAAAGGAGTTATCAATATACTTTTGACAAAATTCTCTGTTGGCTAAATTTAAAGCTGAACTCATAATCACAAGGACACTTTTATTCCTTCCTTACTGCAACCTTTTCTGCTGCCCAAACACTGGCTTCAGAGTTTATCAGCCCTTAAGAACTGCTTTAGTGAAAGTATTAAATTCAGCTAGACTGAGATGAGCTGCATCTCCACTCAAATTGTTAAAATGGTTACTTACAGAATTACAGAAATTTGTTGTGTTCTGGTATGTTTAATATGGATATTACTTTTCTGAAGAAGAAAAAAGCAACAACATTGATAACACTGAAAATTAAGCTCTGTTATTTCCAATATCATTATTCTTAATTTATCCATCAAAGAGATGTAATTTGCTAGCATGCAGTCTCTGAACTCTTGGTTACTTGAGCTACTTGAAAAATTCATTTAGTAAATTCACATATCAAGAGACAGAATCAAATATTTACTGCTCATGAACTGAAGAGGAAAAACAGAGCATGTATTTATTTAGTTAATGTGATCTGTGAAGAGGAAAAGTAATGAGTAGAGGGCAAAATACTTTACAATAATTACCACTCCCAATGTAACAAATCATTCCCATGCAAGAAAATATGTGTATAAAACAAAGGGGGAGGAATTATAGCTCCATTCCATTAATCCTCCAATAATATAATGAAACAAAAACCAAGCAAGTGGTGATAGTTCGAGGCTTCATTTTCACTGAGAGCAGATGTTGTGAGTAATAGTTCCAGCCTGTCAGTGGTGTTCATATTTGAATGCTCCCACATAAAAACGCATTGTTGCAGAGTGCTTTCCCATGACAGCTTATTTTTATGTGCAAGTGCCTTGATATTTTTATATGCAAAAAACGAAAGGAAAGTAAAAATAACCAAGGTGGTTTTCAGATGAAAAATCTAAGTTCTACCATAGTTTTGCTATGCCAGACTTTCAAGATCTTGGTACCTCTTAATCAGGAAAGACTTCACCTTCATGAGGAAACTCCCTCACCGTCTTACCTGAAAAAAAGTTCTAGAGATTTCAAAAGATGTCACAAAGTTTTTTGCGCTGTCTCGGTCCGCCTAGTGAATTACATGAATATGGATTTGTGACTTCGTTTTGCAGCACACTGAAAAACACATTCAAAGGGCCATGAAGGAAGGGGTGCAGGAGGCCCGCCATGTCTCTGCCCGTTTCCTGCGCTGTCTGTGAGTAGCGGGCTTCAGAGTCACCTCGCAGAACGACGGGGCCGAAAGCAGGCAGCCGTTCCCGGAGCGAGACCCGAGCCTGCGGTCAGCCAGAGGCACAAAATGGCTGCTGAAGGGCCCGGCTGGAAACCGGCGATCCCTTCCGCGCAGCACGGCGGCCCAGTGGCCTCCGGCTCCATCGCGCTCGACTCCGCCAGCTGCTCAGCCCGGCTAGGCCCACCGCGTAGACCGGGCCTCAGGGCGCGGCCGGGATCCGGGGAGGGGAGAGGAGAGGCAAGCTTTTCCTGTGGGTGAAAGGTCAGGGGGGCGGCGGCGGCGGCGGCAGCAGCAGCGCCAGAAGGAGGTGTTGCTCCTTCTGCCACAGGCCGGCGTGGGTGCGTGA